ATGTTACACAGTAGCTGCTCTACTCCCAACTATCACACTCACATTGTACGTAGGAAGACAAGGAAAAATAAAAAGTTATTCTCACCTGCCTCTCCCCCTAACTCCCCCTTAAGAAGGCTTCCTCAAAATCTTGCCTATGAACTACCACTTAGGCAGAATTGAGTCCTTTGACCACTTCTAGCTGCAAGGGAGGCTAGGAATATGGTGTTTAAGATGGACTTAATGCTACAAACAAAATTGCTTTCAAAATATGGATTTGGTGAAGCTCTACTGCTTGCTGCACACATGCTAATTGATGGGAAATATTATCCTGTCAGTATTCCGGTTGAATGAGCTGAGATAGACAGAGATTAACAAGTTCACTGGGATGCAAAGGAGTATTGCAGGATCTATAAGTGCCCTTTTTTGGAAGCATTAGGGGGAATGGAGGGCGGGAGTGGAGCAAAAACAGTCTGATCCTCTTCCATAAAGCAGCACCTCAGGGCTGTAAGCTTTCTAGTCCTTTCTCACAGGCAGTAGGTCATCCTTCTAAACATTTTTTTTTGTCAGAAGTCCTTTCAATTAGGTTGAGTTTCATTGGAATAATTAAACCCTGCATCTCAAGCTCCTCACTCCAATCACCCAGGCAAATCAATTAACCAGAGATGCATTTATCTACCTGGCTCCTGGCTCTTTTCTCATTCCAAAGCTTCAGTGCTGGGCATCTCTACGAGAGAAGAAGACATCTGGCTCCATAAGGCAGCTCATTTCCAAGGGGTTTGCAGCTTTCAGGATTGGAAGCAATAGAAGTCTCATTGTTTATTTTTGTTCCAGATTAGATATTTATTCTTATTTATCCAATAAATATGTGTTGAAGATCTACTTAGAGCAAAGCTCCATGCTGAACTCTACTGGGGACACAGAGATGAAACAGGCAGTTGTTGGATCTTTCAGAGTACCGGTTTCCTTTTCTGTAAAAGGAAGAAAGCAGGAATAATTATCTAATAGGGTTGTTGTATTAAATGAGAGAATTCACATATCATTGGTTATCTGCATAAAATAGTGCATAGCATATAGGAACAACCATGTGCTTTTTTTAGAGACAGCTACTAGAGGATGTGCTCCAGCCAAATGAGGGATTAAAGTAACAAAGAAGAAAATAGGAATGGCCAGATAGGTAGGCAGACTAAAGTGCCTGCTTAGGTAGGCCCAGGGCATGCTCAGACTGCAATTGAGACTGGGCGTGTTAACTCACACCTGTAATCCTTGGGCTTGGGAGGCTGAAAACAGGAGGATCACTGCAAGTCCAATCTGTGTAGTGAGACCCTGTAGGCCCTGAACTAAATACATTTTTAAAAGAAGAATAGGAGGAGGAGGAGGAGGAGGAGTGGAAAGAGGAGGAGGAGGAAGAGGTGGAGGAGAAGGAGTAGAAAGAGGAGGAGGAGGCGGAGAAGGAGAAAGTGGAAGAGGGGATGGAGGAGGAGGTGGAGGAAGAGGAGGAGGTGGAGGAAGAAGAGGAGGAGGTGGAGGAAGAGGAGGAAAATCTGGAACTGAGGGAGCAAGGAATCCTATTGGTTAATGAGAGGTTCTGCTTAATAAGTGTTAGCTCTTAGATTTCTACTTCAAGATCAGATGCTGTGGCCTCTAAGAGGGCTGAGTTAGACCCTGCTCCTCTGCCACTGGCTATGAGATCTTGCTCTGTCCTACAACTCTTTGATCCTACTTCTTCATTCATAAAATGGAAATAATTAAACCAACCAAACTCAGGTCCTGTGAAGGACAAGCGACATCCGAGAAGCACAGGGCACATAGCACTTTCTGTTTACACAACAGTAGGCTGTTGCACAGCATTATGAGACAGAACATGAGGTATGCAGAAGGTAGAGGCCACTGTCGATTCTTCATACTTAAATGGACTGTCCACATTTCCAATCATTGATATGTGTTTTGTTGCTTCTGTTGTTTGAGTTTTTGTTTTGTTTAACTAACTTAAAGTATGAATCATGCAGAGTTAGAAAGTAAAGGGAAGGCTAGGGAGACAGATCAGTAGTCTAAGCACCTGCCTGGCAAGCACAAGGACCCAGGTTCAATTCCCAGTATGGCATGCTGAGCCGGCACTGCGCCAAGCTGGCCACCAAGACCAGGCATGCTGACACACACCTGTAATCCCAGCACCAGGGAGGCTGAGACAGGAGTATCACTACAAGTCTGAGCTGCCTAGTGAGACCCTGTAAGAAATAAATAAATAAATAAATAAATAAAAGATTAGAAAGTAAAGTAAGCCTGTAAGGCAATTTCTAACATCATTTCTCTTTCACATTCCTGTAAGGTTATCTCAGAAATTTTTTATCAGATACTAGAACTTTTAAATTGACTTACTTCTCCCCTTCTCTTTCTTATCTTCCTTCTTTTTAACTTTTTATTTAACTCTTTTAGAAATTTCTTCAATTTCATCTTCCAAATCTATTGGCTTAAAATTTCTGCTGCCTTGATTTTAACTGCCAAGAACTCCTTCTTAGTTCTTGTTCCTTGTTCCTGGTTCCTTCTTCACAGCATCCTATTGTTGCAGATGGTTGATACGCAGTGGATCTTCACTAATGGGCTTTAGTTTTAAATTTTCTTATTCAGTACATTGTCTGCTTCCTGTAATTTCCTTACGTCATTTTACCTCTCTCTCAGTCTCTGCCTTCTTGTGGAGATTCCCTCAAACATCAAGTTATCCTTGGCTCTGTTTATTCTTCAGGAGGATGCAGCAAAACACAGTGTACACCTCGGTGTGGGTTATACTTGTAACCCCAGCACTCAAGGAGGCTGAGGCAGGAGAATCACAAGTTTGAGCCCACCATAGCAACTTAGTGACTTAAGAAGACCCTGTCTCAAAATTTAAAAAAAGAAGAAAAAAAAACCTTTGAGAAAGGGTGGGAATGTAGCTCAGTGTGAAGACCCTAGGTTCAATCCCAGTTAAGAAAGAAGGAAAAGGGGCAGGCCAGGTAGCTCAGCAGATTAAAGCGCCTGCTTAGGCAAACACAGGGACCAGGGGTTCCTTCCCCTGCATGCTGTGCCAGCCCCGCCCCTAGGGCACAGTTGAGACTGGGTGTGATGGCATGTGTCTGTAATCCCAGTGCTTGGGAGGATGGAAACCGGAGGATCACTACCAGTTAATCTATGTAGTGAGACCTTATAGACCTTGTACTAAATACATGGAAACAAAAAAAAAGGAAGGAAGGAAGGAAGGAAGGAAAGAAAAGAGAAGGTCACTTCTATCTGTCACGCGCTTCCCCATGAGCTAGCTAGCTTACCTCTGCCGTCTTGGAACCTGGTTTTAGTTCTGTCTTACACCTCCACCCTGAAGCGACCTTACAGGTAGCCTTTGCGCACACACCTTCTGGCCTTAACCCTTTGGAAAGTAAAACTTTTTAACAAACAATTGTAGCGATTGTACAGTAGTGATCAAGGAGAAATCGAGACCCTTGGGTCTACATCCCACCTTTATGATATGCCCTTGAACTTCTCTTGGCTTTTATTTTCTTGGCTGTAAAAATGTGATAGTGACAGTGATACCACCTACGTCAAGGAGCCCTGAGAGCTTCTAATTATCCCTCCCAGTGTGCCTTGCACGCAGCAGATTGTACAGAGGCATCGGGGGTGCTTATTCTGTCCGCTGAGTTATACCCCAAAGTGAGCGTCTCTAAAAGATCTACTTACCAAAAAAGAATCCTCAGTTTTCCCTGGCCTTAGGGCCAAGTTTACAAATTTGTAATCAGAATTCTAAAACCAGAAGCCGAAAGCCCAGCCTCACTGTTGACTGTGCCTCAGTTTCCCCCACCTATGTTGATAGGACAGGAAGGAGAATGGCAAGGGGCAATGGTACAGACCTCTTTTCCCTTTCTTGCAGTTAAAATTTTCTTAAACTTCAAAAATAAATAAGAAGCCTCTTCTGGCAGCTAATAAAAGAAGCACATTCCTTTTTTAAAAAAAAATGCAGAAGATTATCAGTTTTCTCCTGCATTCATTCACGGACCCTCCCTGGGGCGGGGGCGTTCAGGGCCCTTGGCCACCATCCGAGGCAGTTGTGCAACTCTTGTCCCAGCCACAGCACAGGGAGGTTATGAGGAGACCAAGGAGAAAGTTTCCTCCAGAGATTCATCCCTGTAACTCCCCAGCCACGGGTCTCTGACAGCTCCCCCCACCTGCACGACATCGGCAGGAGCAGCCTGTGTCATCCCTGGGAGACCTGGTGTCACCTGTGATTAATGCCCAAAGCCAAGAGCAGCAAGTTCTTGATTACACAGCAGCATCCAGAGTCCCTGTCATTGCAGCACACACGAATCCTGAGCAGCTGCCCAGGACCTCTGTGAGTTGGGATGGCTGTCAGGGCAGGTGGAAGGCCCCTCCCACCTCACCTTGCCAGGCTGGGAGTGTCCTGTCCATCTCTCTGGCCTCTTTTCCCAGGAGAACTCATCCTGCCCTGAAAATCCCAGAGCAGGTAAGCTGGGCATAAGCAATGGCCCTGTCAGCCACTGAGCAATGCTACCTTTGGGAAATTAACAGAATGTGTGCACTGTGGCGTGTTCCTGCCCAGGCCCGTGGGGAACTAGAGGCTGGGGGTGTGATTCACAGCAAAGCTAGCTCTGCCGGGTCAGGACACTGCTTGCTGCCTTTGACTTGATGAGTTTGTAGCCCCCAAGAGCAACTCAGCTCTGCAGGTGCTGTGGTCAGGTCCTGTAGAGAATGGGCATGGTAGCTGGGAGTCACCCCAAGGCCACCCCAGGTCTCCACCCATAGAGCCCTCGGGACCTGTGTGGCTTTCCTAGATGCCCACACCACTGTATTGGGGCAGAAGCCTTTCTCCCATACCAGGTGCTGGTATAGTCCACTTGTCACTGCAGGAGGCCACATACCTCAGGATTTCATGCCCTGGCCTTTCTTCCACAGCAGAGCACCGGACCTTTGATATGTGACTTTCCCTTCCTCTCCCTCCTCCACCCCTGCTCCAGGTCTGATAGTCTTTCTCTTTTCAGGTCCCGGCCACCCAGCCTGGCACGAGGGAGGGTGGGATCCAGCCGGGAATTGTGTGTGTCAGAGCGTGAGGACGGCTTCGCAGCTCCTGTTTATTGAGCACCTGCCACATGCCAGGTACTGTACATGTGTCATCACTTTTATATTAAAAAATGGAAACTGGGGTTCTCTGAGAATTGATGTGAAGTGTCAAGGGAGGAGGGGCAGAAAGCAGGCTGTAATTGGAGCCCTGGTTTGGTGTAGGGACATGGCTGCAGTGAGGCCGTGGAGCTGGTAGATGGTAACTGGAGACCAAGATCAAGATATGGAAATGTATGGTAATAGTAAGAGGGGGCCACACAAATGAAGGAGGGGACTCATGGAACTTGGACATGGGAGGACAGGTCCCCATGGCCTGTGTTTCCCAGAAAAGGCAGGTACCAAGACCACCCCTACAGAGCTTGACCCTAGAGCCTGAACTTGCTTTGGGGACATTTATAGAGAGATCCAAGGACCAAGGAGTTGACTTGGCCTAGAAGCCAGACACCGCCCAAGTTAGGTCAAGGCCACCACACTCTGCACAGCTCAGACTGAGGTTAGAGAGGGGCCACGCAGCCCAGTGGGCTGATAGAATTCACAACCTCCACATCTAACACTGCATTTCTGGGCAAATTGTTTTCCAAGAAACTGCTGGACCTTAACACTGGGTTGATCCCCAGTGATGGCACTGAGTCCAGCTGAGTTATAGTGTTTGGAAGAGAAAAATTGCTTGAAATTAGGTCCAAGGCATTTTGTTCTAGCTTGAGGGTGGCTTCACTACCCACTGTCCATAAGCATTTCACACGCTATAGAGATGTATACCCAACATGCGTCCATGTGGCACAGAACAGCAACATGGGCACACTGACCCCAGCTGGGGCAGCATCATGACACCTCCTGGACCCTCCCAAGGTCACATCCCTGTGACTGTCCTCCCCAGGGTGAGCATCTACTCTGATCCTACAGGCCTTCGCTTCCCAGTGCAGTTTTTCTGTATATCTTGGACAGCAGAGTTATGTTGCATATGGCTTTTTGTTTGAGGTGTCTTAATTTTGTTCTGTTTTATTTTAGTACAGGGGATTGAATATAGGCCTCTGCACTGAGCTATACCTTCAGTCATTTTATTTTGAGTTACAGTCTCACTAAGTCACTAAGTTTCCCAGAGTGGGTTCCAACTTGTCATCCTCCTGCCTCAGCTCCCAGAGCACTGGGATTGCAGAGGGGTACCACCAGGCCCAACCTTGCTTGGTATGTTTGTAATCTTGTTTGGACAGTCTCCTGTCTTGTGCCTTCAGTGACTTCCTGTTTCTCAGCTTCATGCTCCTAAGGCCCATCCACGTTGCTGCACATAGCTGGTCTGTTACCAGTATGGATGCCACCATGGAATGTATGGGTTATCTATCCCTGCCCTACATGACAGTGTTTGTGATGCTACCGTCAAACCTCCTGCCTAGGTCTCGCGCTGCACTCAGGTCATTTTGCTAGGGATCACATGAGAGGGAGACCTGGCCATGATAGATGCGTGTTCAGCCCTCCTAGAGACAGCCATGCCATCTGGTCTCAGACCTCTCTCAGCCAGTAGCAAAGGTCTGCAACTGAACCCTGCTGGGCCCAGTACATGCTAACCTCCCAGTTCTCCATCAGACTTCTGCTCCAGAGGCCCGCCTCTCCCAGGGGGAGAAATCCTCAGAGCGCCTGGGTGTGGGGAGTCTGAGCACGAATTCCAGGTCACACACACTGTGTGACCAGAAGCAAGTTGTTAGGCTCTCTGGATCTGGGTGTCCTTGACTACAGACTAGGGATGATCACAGCACTTCTCAGGGCTGCTGTGATATGACTTCTACAAAGAGTCAGGTGCAGTGTTGGCACAGGGTGACACTTCCTGTTCCTCTGACAGTTTCACTGCCACCCCTTCTGTGAGTCTGAGCCACCTCCTGCATGTCACACTGCAGCTGTTTGTGTAAATGGCCAACACCTAGCACTGAACCGTGAGCACCTCACAGGCAAGGACTCACTGTGCAGGAAATGCCTCTACTACCTCCACACCCAGCATAGCACTTACCACATGCTCCCAGCTGGCCAGCTTTTTCAGGGGCCACCCAGCCCACCATGACCCTACAGCCATGCTTCACTGAGTGCTCTCGGTATCATGGCTCCAAAAGGCCAAGAGTCTATGGTTACCTTGCTCCAAGGTAGGAGACCCCTTTCACCTCTGCTTTGGAAAACAGATATTGCCTAGTCATTTCCTGCTTTGCTGATGGCTGCCAGAGGGCTGCCTTGCACCTTGACTGGGAGGAAGCATTTCTGCAGCCCTGAGCATCCCATACCTATGGTCTCACGTGCCAGCCAGTGCCTTGTCCCTGGAGGGCAGGAAGCCATGCTTCCCAGGCTACTCCTGCTGGCCTGGAGGGCACAAGCCCTCAGCACCTCACTCTCAGTTCCCTCCTGTGTTTACAGCACTGAACAAGCCATGTGTAGAGTTATGGGTGTGAGAGTTACCAGGGATCATACCCAGGGCTTTTGCACTGAGCTATATCTTCCATGCCTTTTTCATGTTTTGAGACCGGGTCTCACTAAGTCATTAAGTTGCTCAGCCTGGGCTCCAAACTGCCATGCTTGTGCCTCAGTAACCCAGAGTGTTGGGATAATAGGTGTCCACTATATTATACCCAGCTGCCATGTGTGCCTAAAATCCACACTGAACACCCTATAGTGCAAAAAGGTCACCAGTGTCTACAGTTGAATAACTCGGTTGTCTCCATTTTTTTTCTAAATACTCAGGTGAAAACTGGGGAGAAATTAGAAATCCAGCAATAAGGGATTGTATTAAAGAAAAAAAAAAGTATATTCTTTTTTGTAGGGGAGGGTTCCAGGGATTGAACTCAGGACCTTGCACTTGCCAGGCAGGTGCTTATGCAGCTGAGATATCTGCCGAACCAAAAACAGTATATTCTTATAATGCAATAATATACACAAAAGAATAAACCATTCAAAAGTGAGGGATTAGCAAATTGGACTTTATAAAACAAGATCACTCTTGTACTGTCAGTAGCAGAAACACTCTAGATTCAAGAGATAAAAAGATTGAAAATAAAAGGACAGAAAGATATATACCATGCTAACAACAATCAGAAGGGAGCTGAAGTGGTTATGCCAATAGCAGACAAAATAAACTTTAAAACAAAAATATTACTACAAATAGAGAAGAACATTTCATAATAATAAAAGAGTCAACCCACCAGGGAAATGCAATAGTTATAATTTTATGTGCACCTAACAGAGCCCCACATACATGAAGCAAAGATTGAAAGAACTGGTTGGAGAAATATACAACTTAGAATAATGGTTAGAGACTTTATTGCTTTCTTTTCAATAATGGGTAGAACTAGGCAGATCAAAAAATAGGAGATTTGAACAACACTGTAAGCAAAGTTGTCTTAATAGAAATGTGTAGGGCATTTCATCTGATAGTAACAGAATTACACATATTTTCAGCCACAACATGAGACACTGTCCATAAAACGTTATATTCTAGGCTATAAAACTCAAGCTGTGTTTGGAGTGCCTGTCATTCTGGTCTTCTGAATACAGGCTGCTTGTCATGACATGCCACGTGCTGCTAGGATATCTCTCAGGTAGATGGTTGTTCAAAAAGAAGGGGGTGGTGAAGGAAAGCAAGAGACAGGAAAAGGAATATTGTGGGACTGTCCTGCTTCAAGGTTGTATATGGTGAGATTTTTGGACTTATGTGCAA